AAGAAGGTAAATCGATCAATGAATTTCTCGCTCATCACAAGTTTATCTCTGTATAGTTGATGAAAATTTGGAAAAAATCTGTTATTCGAATCTACATTTAAAAAAGTGAGTTTATTCCAGGGATGTTTTCACTGAAAAGAGTATGAAGCGTGAGTGAGGAAATCCGTACTTGAACTCCATCAAGTAAGATGACGCATTGAAATTCGCCGAGAGCTCTCAAGATTTTTCTCGCAAACCCCCTTTATCACGATTTTGCAGGCTCGTGCTCAAGTGATGAGAGACGATGACTTGATACTTTAATCCACAAGGTTGAAGGAGTAATAATTTCCTCAGTCAGCATATTACATGTCCTGAGGATTTTTGAATTTTTGCGCTGTGGCTTTTTGTTACTCCCATTTAAATCGAATTATGAACGGATTTCAGCACAAGACGCGCCTTCCTTTAATTTAAAAAATGGCCATTAAATTTCGAGGAAATCAGAAGATTTTCCATGAAACGAGGAATAATTATTGCCATCTTTAAAACTTCAAAGGGACCATTAGCCAAACAACTTCGTCCATGAAAAGTTTTGGAATAACTGAAGTTCAATTAAAAATAAATCCTTCTCCAAGTAAGTTGGCGTCTTCTACGCTTCGATTATTTAATTTGTGCCGCGTTTTTTCTTCGCATTCTATTCAGCTTTTTTTAGACTCAGATTATTTCATGTTTTTTCTTGTACGGACGAATAATGCGAAGAATTTCAACATGGCTCTCTTGATTGTGTTGGAGATTTAAGAATGGATAAACAAGCAGTCAATCCACTCATCTAAAAATTTAAAATCCTTTCGCACGTCACTGCGTTTCTTGGCCTTGATTTTTCCGGATGTCAGAAAGGTGTCCTTGATTTCCCAGATCTCACAAGGGAAAATCTATACTCTATAGACTCATAAAAAAACTTGAACTGGAATATATTACCTGCTTGCAAAGTGGAAGCGACAAATACTTCATGACGAAGAGAATAAGGACTGGGAGACATCCGCGTTATAAAAAAAATGAAAATACAGTTGAACCTCTCTAAGTCGAATTTGAAGGGACTAGCAAAAAAATTCGTCTTAGGGAGGTTTTGACGTAGAGAGGTTTTGAGTTTCATAGAATTAGATAGGTTTTACTTATATAATCAAGCATTTTTATTATGGGAAACATTGAAGAATTTCACTAAATTGTACATTGTGATATTCTGGGCCTCAAATTGCTTCTAAAAGGAGTTGACAGAGCACTCAACTTTAGACAGGGGTTCATTTGCATGATTTAGTCTGTGAAATTCTGTCAAAGCACATCAAATTCAATTTTTATTGTTTTTTTCTTTTCTGTTCTAATAAAATAATAATCGAAAGGTCTCACAAATCTGACTTACGTAGGTTTTATAGAAAAAGACTTTGAGTTGGGGAGGGTTTTAATGCATTATTTCTAAAGGAATTCAGATGGGGACTCAAAAAAACTCGACTTAGGGAGGTATTTGACTGAGGGAGGTTCAACTTAGCAAGGTTCAACTATAATAAAAAGCCTATTGTTATTTACCAGGACAAACAAGAGGTCGATACGTTTTTCTTGCGATGGGCGCCAAATATTTCGACCGTCAAGATTGTCGCGAATTTTTCAGTTCTATTTTTAGAGAAAAACCAGTTGAGAACCCGAATTCTCGTCCTTGAGGACAAATTCCTTTTTCTCGTGAGAACCTCGGAAATCCT